GGATTGTACTACATATGTATCACATGTAAGATGGTGGTGAACACAGTGGTTGTTTATTACCACAATGTCACATGTGCGTATGTTGTATTTCAAAGTGTAGCAAAGTGTCAGTGTTTTCTTCTAGATGGAGCGTGTCCCCGTGTCAACGTGCAGCACATACAAAAATGTGCAGGAGTGCTGGTCTGCACAGGATCCATACTGTGTCTGGTGTGACTCTAAGAGGTCAGTGAAACATCTCATCTGACGTCTTCAGACATCTTTAAACAACTTTAAACTTGGTTATAAAATATTTTTCTTTTCCTAGTTGCACATTTGAAGATGACTGCAAAGATTCAGACTGGGTGTCCATTCCTGATGATTACCAGCAGAAAATGGTTTCCCACAATGTTGCTAAGGACTCCACCGGCCAGGTAGAGAGGACAAGTTTTAACTCTGATCAGTTGTGTGTCAGTTATTTGTCCTTTAAACACTCACAACGAGACCTTTTTCAGATCACACTTAACATCCTGACACACCTGACTGCGGGCGAGAAGGCACGGTCCAACTTCGCCTGTCAGTTCCCTGTGAGTTCCAGAGAGCTTTGTAGGAAGAATGAGTTTCCTCCACAGTTCCCACAATGCATCTGCATCCTCTCTGAGAACATACTTCCTGCCGAAGGTCAGTAACATTTGATAAATGTAATAATCTCATGAATTATGTACTTAACAATGGGAACACCAGTTGTTTATCAGGGGATCTGCTAATATTAAACACACAGGCTTATTTATCATCAGCCTAACTGTTGTACCTGAGCAGTCAGTCACACCTGGTATTATTTGCTGTTGTTTCCTTGTCACCTCTGCCTGCTCCTGATGATGGTTTTAAAGTAAAACTGAAAGCTTGAGAAAGCTGCCATCAGTAACTTTACTCTTATATACAGTTGTTTATCAGCTGACAAACCTGTGATGCCTCTAGTTATATTACATGTAAACATGAATCACTGAAAACTGTAATGTTCAATGTGTTATTTGCATTTCAGGCCTGGCAGTCAGTGTAAGAATTAGACTTGGCACATTGACCTTATTGGAACCACTGACGCTAACCAACTGCTCTGAGATCAGAGGACCGCCAACTTCTGTCTTGTAAGTCCACTACCACTGTCAATACACAAAGACACCTACTGTGAACTAATAATGTCTAATATAATTAAAAGCAGATAAAGCTGAAAAAGCTGAAACACATAATGAGTCAAAAGCATCAGGTCCCAGTTATATAAAGAAAAAGACTTTAACCCTTTCTGCTCACAACCAGGAATAATATATTATTATGTTGTGATCTTTGTGATCTATCAAGTCGTTGTGATCCATATTTCTAGTGTTATACTGACGCTGGTCTTTACACCAAAATGTTATAAGATTTGTTTCCTCCTCAGGTGTCAGCAGTGTATCAGGGCTGGATGTGGCTGGAGCAAAAACCACTGTTCCTGGGCAAATCAGGGAGTGAGGAATGTAATTATGCATATTTTTATGTATTTATCTAACATACGTGAACAAATGGGAAAGGAGATGAAACGGAATGCCTTCCACATCGATCTTATTTACATATTGTCTTGTTTTCTAACGTTAACAAACTAGTCACCAACTGAGTCACCACCCAGCTGCCTGCTCAGAGTGGTTCAGAGTTTAGACACTTTGCAAAGACAGCAGCTTCACTGTGACGACAGTCTGACTGTGTTTCACTGAGTCCAATGCAGGTTAAACCAAAATGTCTCATTTTCTATTTCTGCACATACGTACACCATGTAAATAAAGCAGCATTATAGGTGTTGGCATATCCCTCAGCCTGGCTGTTTTCTACTGTTCTCCAGGTTTTGACTTTAGCTGAATGTCCTGAATCGACTCTAATAATACCTTCACAGTGAGTGTCATGTAATCCTGCTGAATTTCTTCCCCCACTTCCTCCTGCAGGAAAGTGTTTGCCAAATGATGGGGTCAGGGATGAACTTTTCTGTGAGTCTGAACCTCAGCTCTCACACACATTCTTCATCTGAAGTTCACCTTCTTCACATTCAGTCGAGGTTAAAACATCAGTAGAAGGCGACACGTTAAAATGATTGTTTTTCTGTGTGTTTTACTGTCAGAGGCCAGAGATCTCCTCCATCACTCCCAGTGTCGTGTCTTTCTACGGCAGAAACCATGCAGTGTTGAGCGGTCATAACCTCAATGATGTGACCAGAGTGAGGATCCAGACTGACGACTGCTCTCCACGAGAGTGAGTCAGTTTACCAGTTTATAAGATTCTTTAACTACAGTAATTTTTCATTTCATATACACTATCTGGTGAAATGTTTTTGAACAACCCCAATTTTTTCCAGCTATTTTTTTTTTAAATTTCAGTAGTTCAATCCAGTGAAAAAACTTAATGGTACAAGAGGTCAGCAGTAAACTGTCTAGGGTAAAAAACAAAAAAAAAAAAGTTCAGGTTACGAAAACTGAAAAATCATGTAAAATTTTAATGGCGCCAGACTGTCGCTTGCCACCTCATATGGCACTATATCAGATATTCAGTTTACCAGGTTAATATTTTTTTTTTATGCAGAAGCATTTCACCGTCTTATAAAAGTGACACTGAACTTTCTTTAAGATGAAACTAAGAACCAGGAACACACAAGGGACCAAACTCTAAAAGAGGGCAGAGGTTCAGGTACAAGCTACAAACGTACTGAAAGCCGCTAATGTTAATAAATAAAATAATAATACAGAAAATAAAAGAATGGCACTGTCTCTTTCTTTTGCTGCACATTCCACAAACTATAGGGGTGTATTTTAGATACACATTTTATGACCAGAAACTAAACCTATGTACACCACACAGGAAAAAAGCAAAACAAGATTGTAAGTTTTTGTGCCACCACAAAGGGCCTCCACACTGCCAAGCACAGTCTCCACACACATTAGTGGCAAACTTTCCTGCAACAGTGTTACGACAACTTTTCTTGAGGCAAGTGTCAGGAGTGTTTGGTGCAGGAAAAGTGCACGAATCTTCCTAAAAGCCAGAAGCTGGATTTTTGATGTGAAATAGTGTTTTGTGAATCCACAGGATTTTTGTGTAAATTAAGTATAGATTTGGTTTTATTCATTAGAATCACTTGATTAGAAAAATTCCAGACTCACTTCCCACTATCAACGCACTCATGGGTTGCTTTGCACGTTGTGGTTTACTTTTTTACCCAAGTTTTTTTAACCATCCTTTTATTTAATTGTTCATATTAATATCACCATGTTCATATGATGTTAAATTAAAAGCAGTTTCTTATTTGGAAATTTTTATTTTTCTTTGATTGTTCATTTTCATCGTCATGAAATAATACTAAGGAGATTTGCTGCTCTGTACTTGATGGTTATTTTTATACAGATTTCTAGAACCAAAATTATTTTTAAATGAAAAAACGTCATGAAACTCTGCAATGAAACTGCTCCCTCTCTCTCTGTCTTCCTGTGTGCTCTGCTCAGATCTCCTGTTGTGGAACAACCACAGGTGTGAATCTGAACGTTCCACATTCCCAGCCAGAAATCAAAAGGCAAGGTCCAATAGTATGTGCCCTCCTCCCGATGGTAGTTGCCATGGCACATGAAAATCACCCCTACAGTTCCTTCCTTTCTGCGCCATACATCAACACCCAGCAGCACCTGGGACAGGTATGATTTGTATGTGAAGATTTAATATTCCCACACACACACACGACAGAAACAAAGAAAAAAAGTCAAAGTGCCGAATCAACAGCACTGTACATCTGATCTCATCAAATATTTCCAAGCAGCTACTTGTGCTGCTGACACCACGAAAGAGTGTTTTCAACACTAAAACTTTTAGCATTACTATAACACTGTGTGTGCTCCTTCGGTGTCCTGTCAGTATGAAAATTCCTCTGCTTCTCTGTGTCATTTAGTGGGAAGAGGAAAATCACACTAATGGGAATCCACCTTGAGTTTGTGGAGAGGGTCACACACAGCCACGCCCCGCAGGAGGTTCAGACTTCCCAGAACAGCAACTTTCAGGTAGGTCTTCTGTATGCACACACAATGCAACAGTGAGAATGTCAGATAATGATATAATGGACTATGTCAGCATGAAACAATCCTGTGTCAATCATCTTATATTGTACAAATGTCCCATTATGTTACATTTTGTTGCAATGCTTCATGTCATGTTATCTCCCAAGTTTGTGATTACACATCATAGGTAGATGCTCCATAACATTTAAGTCTTGTTGCTTGATGTGGCAACACCCGTGGTAAGGTGGCAGCAATGTGGTTTAAATACCAACAGTAAACACTCACCTTTAGCATCTCGATTAGCATTTGTGATAGATACAACAGAAAGAGAAAGTGGTCTATATGTTTACAGTGCAGCCTGTGAATCTCTGCTGCATGAGATGCAATTTGAAAGCTAGTGTGGGAATATTGCATCACAACATTGAAAAACTACCACATAACAGACGACAACTAAGATGCTTTAATTGAGCTGACTATAGTATAAACTTGAAGTGCCAGGGGATAGCAAAAAAATTGCTACACACAACAGCCTTTATATGTTTCATTCTTCAATAAATTATTGGATTAAGTATTTGAGTTCATTTATATACTTCTATATGTAACATCATTCTTTTCAGTGTGGAATTAACGATCTAGTTTATTTTTTCAACGATATACCCGGTTTTATCGAAAGAGGCTGTATCTCACACTGTGCTCTTCTACATGCAGCAGATTATACCAGCTTTACTCTAGTGAACTCATATTGATCAGTAAATATATTACATCAATACACTAAACTATGACCATGAGAAGCGGCTCTTGAGACACCTAACGGGGCTTTTACAGCCACTGTTTTTATTGCGAAGAGTAGCATCCACCTGAACCTTTTGTACCCTGCTTCCACTAAAATAACCTAAAACTCTATCCTCACCAGACACTCTCGCATATTATACTGGTTTCACATCCGAGCAAGGAAATCGCGGGAGAGAGTGTTTGTCACCGAGACCACTAGTAGAGGTTACAATTGCGTTCTGCACATTATATGTTTTTCCACACACACGTTATGGAAAACACAGAGCCACCACGAGTACGCCATCAGAGTCTCCCATCAAAACGGTCAACATTTGCTTCTTTTGTCGTGTTTGAAGAAAATAAAACAGGCAGACAAACTGGAGATCGACATACAGCAAAATAATTCACAAGCTCTGATGAGGGCATTCAGGGTCAGAGAACAGCCCATGTTGTACAATACTGTAAACATTGTGGAATGTATAATGAAACTGGTGAGAGAACACAAGACGACTATTAAGTATCTACACATGTGATATTCAGCACGCACGCATAGATCGCTGAACTACCAGCACACTTATTGATCGGTGTAAATACTTTGCATCTCAAACAGATCACTCTAAACCTAAGACAGGATAAGCTGATAAAAGAACACTACCACCTCCAAAAACATTTACTCTGTAGTTTTAATTAGAGAAGGATATATGTTTGATTGCCAAGAGGTAGCACATTTAATTCTTATCACCTCCGGAAAATATTGATTTCAAACTATCACAGTGGATTTTTCAAATAATCAACGGAGAGAGCAACCGATTTTGAGAAGTACCACGAATACATGTTCTTCATGATTTTTGAACCCCTGGTAGGTCTGCACGTGAGACTGATCCAGAGCTAAGAATATACTCTAATTTTACAGCAGTGAGCTAGATGTATTAATGTTTGTTTCCAAGATAGGAAGTAGTATAGTGCACAAAAGACTGGTAATGACTTAGACCCTCCATTTATTGCATTTGTGTCCTTTCCTGATACTTGCGAATCCTGCTGATACCATGTTTATGTTATTTTGTTGGTTAAAAGTTTTACTATTTATACCACTCACGGATTGGTAACTGCTTGAAGTTTGATTTGTTTGTTGTTGTACTTGTTTATACTGCTATTGGGTCTGAACCTCAATCAAAATTTCTCAAAGTTTTCCTTTAAATTCTGTATTATGTGTGTACAGGTTATGTTTTAAAATGAGTATGTTCAAATTATTAGTAAAAAGATGATGAGTCTGAGGTATTTCGGAGAGTGAGTGGTTAGAAATACTGTACTTGAGAAGCTTTCTTTCTACTTTCCTAACTTTTTGGTATGTAGAATCTTGATAGCCTCTGGTTCTGTCTATGGTCTTTGAATCACTAATTAGTGTTTGTCTTTCAGTGTCGGTGATTTTCGACTTCGATTATGGCAAAAAGAAGAACTCACACCGGATGACGAATGCACAAATAGTCTGCTGACCTCGACACTCAGCTTCTGATCCCACTTATTTCATGGTGGTAGAGCCCAAAATGACTCACCGCTCGGAGCGTGGGTAGTACAACAAGGGTCTTTTCTGATGAGGTACTGGGCTTTTTGTTGATAAGATATTCGCCAATATATTCCAAGACCTGGTGGGAACTAATCAAGATGTTAAGTTCACTTCTTATGTAGTTTCATAACTTATTAAACAGAAGGCAGGCAACTTCTATCTTATAACTCACTGATGATGTACCAATGTTGAGGAACCACTCGAGGCTTTATTCTATGCCACGCTTATCTCTTCAACCGCAACCATTTTCTGTATGGTTGCTTATTTAACTGTCGGAGATGTAGTTGTAGGCCTTTTACGCCTTTTTATGTACTGGCCTCGCGCAGTAACATAAAGGGAGTCTATTCAGAGAATTGTTATACACCTGAGATCGTAAAGGTGAATTTAAAAAAGACTATCATTTATCCTCTACAATTACATGTACATATAGAAATTATATTAGGTAGAACATGCACGGGGTGGGGGCTATGACAACAAAGGGTCACCAGGCAGAAGCCAACGACTGATGGCACCTTGGCAATTTAACACTGGTCGAGCGTCTAACGCCCCTTGGCTCCAGGATGCCCCCTTCACTCGATATTTTCAGTTTGTCAGTCCCATTCTCATGAACATATTCTCTAACACCTGGAGGAAATTCTTCAAATTAGGCACAACCCATTTTGCGTGTGTCAAAACACCTGGATACCTACCCCTCACGACGCCGCCATGAGTTACTGATGAGCGAATATGGTGAGTGAATGGTCCGAGCAGGGACAACAAGGCTAAAGGCCACTGCTGATCAGCACACAACCATTTTTAGGCACCATACCTCTACAACCTCACAATATCCACGATAGCATACGGCTAGTGACATGTGAATTGCTTTAACTATAGAAGAGTCTATATAAGGCATAGAATGTAATGATAAAAGTGTGCATGAGGCATTTTATAATCAGTAATATAAATGGGCTATCACCAGGCACACACCTTCCAAACACTGTCGACTCAAACAATTGCTGGAAAACAGATGAACATTTGTAATACTCGCTGCTATTAATTTTCTAAACACACAATTTAAATTAATTCAGACTAAACTGTATATCTCAATGAAAAGTAGACAAAAAGCAAATCGAGATCCCATGTTTCTCAAACACGGCGCAAAGGTGACTTGATGTCTTGAAAAGTTCACAAATTTGACAAATGGTATAACAAAAACACTGATATTGATAAAAAAAATAAAAAACATACTATAAAATAATATTCACAGGTCTCTGTACACCTGGAATACAACGAGATAAGAACTGCAACATAGAAAACACTCAACAACCTCTGCTTGTTCGAACAAGAAGAATTCACAGCTTCTTTGGAGTGAGAGGACCTAAGGTAGTGTGTTGTTTGGGCCAGGGTCTGTGCGTCTGCTAAATGAGCAGGTACAATCTCTCCAAAACTTCTGTCAGGCGTTTTCCATTAAAACGAGGACATCATGTAAGTGTATGTTGGAGTGATGTGTGTTACACCTAGTATAAGGCCGAGAGTTCCTTAGAAAGGTCGAACTACAATGAAGAATATGGTCTGAATTTTAGTTTGTGCCTTTTGGAGTAAAAGAGAGTGCCATAAAATATTAGAGTATAGTGATTCCCTCACTATATCCACGACATTCACAACACACATCAAAAAGCCTCCTCTGTAGTACTCAGTTATAACTGCAATTTCAGGGGTTTCCAAATTGTACTCCAAAGATGGAAAGTGAGTCAAAGTATCTTGGCAAAATACAAGAGATGAATTTTATAGAACACGTACGATTATCAGCAATATATATATATATCCTTTCCTCAGAGTATGGAGAGATTAATCAAGAGCACCACAGTTAGAGAGCGGTGAGGATTTGAGCGGAAGGTGTAGACGCATGGATCGAGCTCACCAAGTTGCTGTTGACGCCATGATTGCGATAGCCGGCGCACGCATCGCTCACGAGCGTAATGTGACGGAGAGAGAGAGAGTTCAAATGAAGGATTGCAGCAAAAATGAGATAACACACTCTCGCGCGCTTCATATTACGATGAAGAGCGAGCATGAGGCATATATGACGCGGTGATGATTCGTGTATGCAGACACCGATATAAACCAACATTGAATCACACGGAGAGTTCAGTTTCTAAAACATCCAGGTCTGAGTAAGAAAAACTTCAAGCAACTCCAAAATCACTAAAGCGAAAATGTTACATAAACAAAAACCACTGCAGAAGTGAAGAGGCAGATATATACCTGTTTGGATACCACTCAACATGAGTCCAGTAATCGGTCAGGTCAAACAAATAAGAGAAAAATCCGTATCAATTGTTAGATCAAAGAAGTCAAAATTGACTCGTCGCTTATGCTAACATCATCTGTCTCCATTCATTAGTTTGTTATCCATCGCTTCTCAGTCTATTCATATCAATGAAAACAGCTGCGCGAGAGTAAGAGACTAAATGGCAACGAATAGCAGATCACTAATGCCGTAAATCGAGAGAGCTAGCGATACCTGACCGTGGCGAAAGTAATAACAAAAAAAACTTTTATCCTCACTACGAACATTTCATAAAAAAATAATCCAGATGTCTGAACGTATATATTTATGATGAAAGAGTACTGTTTTCTATACATGTATAGCGACGCTGCTCCACCCTCCAGCACTTATGAGATGTCAACAGAATGTTGTCAACAAGCGTGGTCCCCGTGGCTGAGAACCGAGACTAGAGTGGTATCAGCTGTGGAGTGTCTATAATTGTATGAACACACCCTAGTATTTCTCGCGAGAGGACGCCCTATATTGATCCACGCTCCCAGTAAATTGGAATACTCGGCTGGAGCGTAATATATATATATATACGGGAGAGAGCGAGGTCAGCGAACGGCAGCATAGACAGCCACTTAACTCGCTATGTCATCTCACTAGTATGCATCCAGTATGAGAGATAGAGAATAAAGCGTACGTAGGGAGCCGGAGCACCTACCGTACTGGCGTATTGAGTGCATTATATAGTCCCTCTCACTCGCACTAGAGAGAAGACAGACGTCATGGTTTAGTAGTGAGAGCGGCGTAAGAGAGGTAGATTGGATGCCGAATTGAAGTGTACTCGGATCTGATTCTCTTAAAGCCTGGTGGTTTAGATGGACGAATCGAGAGATCTGGGGATTTCAGTTGTGTCCCACGCGATGTCTATGCACTATGAGAGTGCGGTACTCGACTAGGTGAGAGTATATTGTATTCTCTTAGGAGACTGCATCACGCCAGGGTCAGGCTAAAGAGCTCACCTCTTTGTTGTATGGTATAGGCTTCCGGTGGATCGTAATTTTGATTCCCTATTACTATAATCATTGGTTAAATATGGGGACGTGATCGGTTTTGTTACCAACGCACCCAAAACTCTCGCGTATCGTTTGTCTTTGCATATTCTGCTCATATGAGCATCTTTGATCATCAGGCTTATGTGTATGATTGTTAGCCCTGTCTGAGTTCAACACAATCTGTGTCGTGGAGTAGCTCAACATTGATTTCGTTGAATATTTAATTGGGGTGGCTGGATCTGCATTCAGAGGAGTTATTATGTTGTATATCACGTAGAGGTCGAACGCATAGCGAGAGTATAAGTAGCAGAGAAATGCCAGAAAGCTATACAGAGAGTGATATATGTGTTGAGAGCGAGGTCTTTGTTTGACAACTCTATGCGTCTTGTGGGGCTTTCGTGCGCGCTGTAGTGGTGAAATCATCGTTCAGACAGCCATGCTTTGTATAATGTGAGGTGTTTGCTCAACGGCTCCTGGTCACTGATGCATCGGTTACGTGTCGCTCCACTTCTTCTCTTGTCACTAAATCACTGATGACTGCCTGTAAAGTCTAAAGTTTGAGAGTATATGGGCAGACACACTCATCTCAAGTGTAAAATGAGCGGCTGTCTGGTGAGATATGTATCGCACGGGATTGACGTGTGAGTCGTGGTGAGAGTTGGCACTTAATAGTCAGTTCTAGCGATGTGTTAATTAAATAGTAAGTTCGATGTTAGAATGGAGGCAGACGGGACACACCACTTCTCATATCAGATTGCGACATGGCAGCCATCAGGACTCACTGCTGTCTTAGTGAACGGGGCGTGGTGAATGACCTCGACCGCTTCACCAAGCTTTCAGAGCAGTGCACTAGGAAACAAGATAGTTCGAGAGAGCATGAGTGTAATGGAGAAACACTAGTGTGGAGTTATCATATATATCTTTGTGGTCAGTTGAAGCGAGCTGTCAGAGTCGTGGTCAGAGAGTAAATACTGCCGAGTCAGTTTGAGCTGAAATAACACTGCTTCAAACAGACTTTGTTGGAAGAAGAGTGACTAAAAGCAGTCGAGGGATAATGTGTGCACTAGAAGAGGAATGAGAGCTCGCCTGTCTGCCGCTTTAACAATCTCTCTCTCCATAGCGAGAGAAAATCAGGTTTCCACGCACAATGGGTCTGAGAGTTGTGGTACCATGCGGAGCGCCGCTCTCACCTACTTCTGCACTCTCTCTTTGTTCCCGAGCAGAGGCTCAGACATGCGCGTGTTTGAGCCACGCATAAGTGGCACTCATAGCAGGAGTTGAGTAGACCAAGAGCCATGCCTAAGGTCGGTCCAGTGTTATGAAGGAGGATTAGTTCACCGCTACTCTAAGAGCTGCCACACCAGCTGCTACAACATGATCCACTGCTGCCTGGCTCTGTTTGTATTAGTCCTCTGGGAGTAACTCGGGTCTCTGGTGTCGGGGGAGGATGGAAGGCTTCGACTGTGTGATGGGAGGAATATGTACCGTCTCATCTTAGCCCGTGCCTGCGAACTTTGCGATATCATCGCTGACACAGTACGTAGCACCGGGACTGTACACTCAGCTCAGTGACTCAGACCTGACTACTGGTTCGCCGAGGACTCTGACCCACGAAGAGGTTCATGAACGTGACGGTGCTCCACTGCCCGCCGAGGTTGGATGAGCTCTCAGTGTTATGCCCGTGTTTTGGATGCGCTGTCTGGTGCGAACGTGGAAAGCGCCCTTTTCAGCGTTCAGCCGTCTGTTAGTTGCCATCGTTCTGTTGCACGACGCGAGCACTCCGCCGATCAGCTGCGGTGACGCGAACTGATGAGTTCGAGATGGCTGTCTTATCCATGTGAAGTTCTGGACGCTCGAGTAAGGAAAGCTCATCTCCACTAACGTTGCGCGAGTCGCACACGTGAGGAGAAATGCATCTATTAGTGTGGACACGAGATAGTGAGCGCACATGCTAGAGAGCGAACTGTTGTCTCAGTTCTTGCGAACTGAGCAAGATGGACGAGAGAGTCAAACCAGGCATGCACATTCTATATCACTTATTTCTACACACTGCGCCAGATGAATACACAGCAAAATAAACATCAAGAGGAACACGTCACGGTGTGAGAGACGCCGCTCGGTCTGCCTCTTGTATTAACCTACTCTAAACTTCAGTCTAATCCTTTCAAGGGAGAGTAAACACTGACTGATGGAAAGTGCCTGATGTGGTAGAAGCAGAAGCAGGGTCCGAGTGAAGAGACAAAAACGATTATCTTTTATTACAATGATGAGCAAATCTCCGACTTAGCATTAATATGCCCGAAGAGTAAAAAGGACGATGATGAGACTGGAGTGTCTACGTAGGAGCCCGAGCGCAATTATCATATATCTTATAGGCTTCTACCAGTCAGAGTATCTGGCCTCCTCTCCAGCGGGAAATGACCACCTCCTGCCCTGTCAAAAAGGCTCTGAACAGATAAGTCCATCCTATATTTGTGGTTTATGAAGAGAAGAGAGAGAGAACGATCTCGAGACTGTTGACACTCGCTCGCCGGGCGCGACTCACTCAGTGTCGTCTTGAGAGGGCTGGTGTCTGAACGGTTCTAACAAGATCCTCCGCTCTGACTCTCCTCGTGATCCGGGCGGTCCGCCGGATTGCTCTGCGACGCGGAAGTAGTTCAGTGTGGGTGAAGGACAGCTGAACACCGAGCTGGTATGAGGGTCTGTGTCTGAGAGACACGGTACAGCTGGATGACCTTCGACCGAGACGTGGATTGTATCTCACCAGTTAGAGGTGAATCGCGATACACGAGATGTCGCGGCGCTGGCTGGCATGGTTAGCAGACATTTTCTCCCTGTAGTGATTGTCCTCCAAGCAACGGTAACACAGGTAACGGGTTCAATTTATACAGCTTATGCAGTTTGATGCCACTCCTAAAGAGAAAGTGACTAATTCAGTCTGTCCACTAGTCTACTCGTAAGCATGCAAGCACACTCATTAAAGACATTATCAGTAACACTAAACTAATCGCATACTCTTGATCAGTAGGCGACCTTTAGATGTGCTCTCAAAACGCGTATCATCATAATTGAGACATATTTGGAACTTACCTGTTGACAAATCCCGCGTATAATGAACATTGTTTGTGGTATTCTCAACTCTAAAAAGACACTGAAGCCGAGGCCAGTACGCTTTCTTCAGACAGACACAAACATGACCTTGTGCTTCGGCAGTGTCACGCAGCGCACGAGGCCTGGAATGGTTTTCTTCATCAGGGTACGAGGAGTATGGGCGATGCTCATCCAAGGTGTGTATAAAGAGGTTCACACAATCTGATAATATGTGGAGAAAAGAGAATATCACCATTTAATCTAGACATACAGTACTTAAGATAAACACAACTATGATAGGCATTCACTCAAAGACTTATCTAGTTAGTTATGATAATACAGGTAGACATCTAATACATGAACTAAGTCACGTAAATCATGTGTTGTTTTTGAATATTGAAAGTCATGAGGTTGATCTCTCAGCATGTGTACATATAAACATCCGATCCATTCCATATATCCATACTTGCTATTAGCTTAAGCAGTAAGAGGGGATTGACAAGGAACAATTACAGTAAAATTTAATGGCAAATAAAACCCACACTATATGTTATCTATTCCTTGAATAGACACAGATATTAATATGTAAAAAATCTCTTCCGAGTTTTTCCCGAACTCTTTAGAGAGCGCGGTACACAAATTTTAATGTATTTTTAAAACTTTTTGCAGTTTTTATTAAATTGAATTCGCACATGCAGGTGTCCTAGGCAGATGCATGACATTTACATTTCGTTCAGCTTATTCTTATATTTCCTGCTATCGAATCTTCTCCAGTTTGAAACATTCCATACATAGCTCCATTTTCTTTTCCTTTTACGCCTCGCGCTGAGATAAAAAACAATATGTCTTAAAAGTTGTGACCAGAGACACTCTTTATACCATGCTCACCCCACATTGATAACGAAAGTTTTGAACGAAGTCTGGGAAGCACTCCAAGTAACCTCTCTGCAAGTACACAATAGGCTCTTTCCTGCTTTACTTCACAGTGTTCATAAAACTCCGAAAGTGTACTTTGTTGACTGCTGTGCAGCTGAGGCCTTTACGAAAGATAGAGGAAATGAGCTTTCTAAATTGCCCTGGGAAATGTAGATGTAAATGGACGCGGAACAACTGTACAGTGGATGAATAAATGAGAAAATATACTTATTCACAGTTCCGAACGCAAACAAGAGGCTCGACCACACGCACAGAGGAGTGGAGAGAGATAAGAAGCTTATAGCTTGTAGATAGTCGCATAAGACCTATAATCATCTCGTGAGGATACATTACTGTAAACCAATTATCTGGTTTGTTGCGCGAGCTCCGAACGTTCATAGAACATTACAAATTCTTGTTTGTTTAGCCATTATAAGTATTTGTACTATTAACTAAAGTTTTATGTTTCGCATTTTATTAACAGTTAATGACGCCCGAAGTTAATTCCCTCCCATGGATAACCAGGAAATTAACATAGAGGTAGAGCAGAGAGCTAGTCAATTGTGCTGCTCAATATCTAATCATATCATGCGGGTGAGCCAAAGCACGAGGTATTATCGAGAGAAGAGGTGAGGCTATGTCCTTAACGGACTCGCGCGCGCATGTTCAACCGCAGACTATGGAGGTCCAGCTCTGCGAGGATGAACCTGTCCAGAGGCATGAGACGAGGTACCTCAGGCCCAATAGATTGTGCACTCACGTATCGTGGCAAGCGTGGAAGCGAGGATGAACCTGCGGGAAAAGTTCCATTCCAGACAGCACACTTATAGGGTACCTATCAGCTTGAAGAGGGAGACCAGTTGTGACACTCGAGCTACAAGCCATAAAAGAGCTACTCACCCTTCGCAGTCGATTCGTTCCTGTGGTCACGTCGTGGGACGCGTTAGAGTGCCACTCGTGTATCTGTGTGGCGCAGATAGTTGTAGGGAACGCTCACATGATGTGAGATCATCGCAGGAGCGGGTGAGAAACAGCCCACTTTCGCCCACAACACCGGAGAGGGCCGCAAGCGCCACACGCTGAGAACGAAGAGAAGCCAAACTCCGCCGCACATACGAGAGTTATGGAGCGGACCGGACACGCCGTCAGCCAAAAGGTTCTCAACGTTCATTTTTTTTTTTTTTTTCCCCAAAAAAAAAAACCTTTTTCCAAAAATGTTTTTTTGCCTGTCATGGTGTGAGCTCTTAGTCTGTTAGAGGACAACACAGTGAGGGTTTTCTCAGCAAGTATAACAGTGGTGTCATTAGCAGGATCTGACCTACAAAAGCCTGAAACACAGCATAAAAAGAAATTCCACTGTAAGTCCGTTATTTCACCGAGAGTGCGCTCATACGGGACTGCTGCAGCAAAACTTTTGCCATTATTGTAGAGTGTGCGTAGATCTGTCCTTCTTTTTAAAAAAAAACAAACAAAAAAAAACAAAAAAAAAACAAGTCCATAGCAGGTTATTGATGAACTATTGTTACGTTTTGTTAGTTAGGTAGACATTAAGAACTAAAAGTTTGCGTTAGAAGGAGAGACTGAGTTATTGTTACCAATCAGTACGAATCGACGCAAGATATATGACAAAGAACATCGTGGGAGCAGACTCGTCCGTTAGGGGGTGGCCGAGTATATCTAGTGCGAGTAGGTGTCGTACCGAGAGGAGAGTCACCTAGAAAATGCAGTGTTTCGCGGTTGGAGAGACACCGGGCTGGGGGTGCTGATGGATGTGCGAGATAAACGAAGCTGCAGTGACAAAATTATAAACGTGAGCCTGCAAACCTGCAGCAGTTAGTGCGTAATGCTTCACATGAGTTGCGGATTCGCGATCGCGTACACACATTTTTTCATATACCACAACGAATGGTAACCCTTGCCTATTTGTGACACTAAGGTTTCGTCCTTTTGGCTCTACCAGGTCCTCGAGTGCTCTTTTACCAGCTTTAGATGCAATATCAGCCACAGCAAACGTACACCCAAGAGGTCGGAGCGTAAACGTACCCTCTTATTACCCCTCTGCAAGACCCCACATGAGTCAACTTTTCGTAGTAAGGTCAAATATTAATAAGTCACTGCGACTTAGTTTAAGGGATGTTAAGAAAAAAGAAAGAGATCAGTTCACGCAGCAGAAGAACGAACTATCGAATGATGATGAACATTATTAGAGTCAGTTATTGTATTAGTAGAATGCTTAGGCGGAGCGCTGTTTC